CTTTCCACACCTTGTCACCCACCCCAGCCTGTGCCACCCTACCAGCACCGAGACCTGTGGGCACTGCCACAGCTCTGGCATGCCTAGGCACGGACCCTCCTGGCTGCAGCTCACTCTCAAGGCTTCCCTGGGACAGGACTGTATCCCAGCGAGCCGGGAGCCAGCACTGAGCAGGAGCAGTGCTGTGGGAGCCCATCCCATGGGAGGAACCCAGGAGGACTGCAGGGTGCTGACGAAGCTGGGCTCAGCCCCAGCTCACCCTGCCCCAAGGGGCCACCGGCATCCAAGGTCCTGGCAAGTCTTGATGCCAATCACTGCTCCCTTGGCAGGACCAAAGGAAGCAGGCAGTCACCTGGCTGGGGATCTCATCCCCTCTCCTCCCTCCAGGGCTGGGGAAGGCCCTGGGGAGAAAATGAGGATACTCTGCCAGGTGACTCCTGTGTGCCTCAGTTTCCCCACCCTGCTGGCACTATTTCTCCCAGGGGCTCTGTGGGGTGAGGTCCTCCTGGGCTGTCCGGGGAAGGTGTCTGCACAGGGATGTGATCATAGGAAGGAGACGCTGGGAGGAACGGGAGACTGGGAGGAGAGGCTCAATTAACCTGGACTGCAGAGGACGGTGTCTGCCAGCACTGCTGGCAAGGCTGTGGAGATTTTGGAGCTGGCTCTGACCTGGCTGTAGCACTGTCACAAACATGAGCAAGGTGGCACTCAGGATGGCTAGCCCTTGCCACAGGCCAGGCAGTCCTCTCCAGAGGGGAAGAGCCCAGCAGCATGCCCCTGGGCTGCGGGCACAAATCCGCATGCCAGCACTCCAGCTGGGAGCAAGAGCAGCCTGTCCCACTCTCACAGCCCGGAGGGATGGCTGGGGCGCCCAGCCACCGAGGCAGGGATACTGCTCCATGCAACCATGCCATCCCCTCAGGCAGGGCTGCCCCCCTTCCAGGGAGCCAGGAACAGCCCCCAGCACTGGCATGGGGAGAGGGGAGTACGGCCCCACTGCCAGCTGGTCCCCACGCTGTGGACCCTGCCAGTGAGCAAAGGAAGCTCTGGCAGCAGCATGGTGCCACGTGTGCCTGGCTCAGAGAGGGGAGGGTACCCAACAACTTGGATCCTGGCAGGCCCACCAGAATGTGGGAGCAGCCTGCTGCTGCCTCCCCTGGGGATGGGAATGGTCCCAAGGGTCTTTGGAGGGGCCAGGATTCCTCTGCCACAAGCAAACAGCTTTCTTGCCCACCTGGCTGGGTGGGAAGGGGCTGTCCTCCAGCTGCAGAGGAGACCTTGAGCCCCACTGCCCAGCACACCCAGAGCCCTGCATCCCACTGCACAGGCCCTGCTCCCCTTCCCTCTCCAATCCCATCCATTCCCAAGGTGGATGGGGGTGGTGTGTCCCCCCAGCTCTACTCTGCACTGCTCCCATCCCCTCCCTGGCCTGACCCACATCCTCCCACAGACTCCGGTGCTGCCAGCCCTGCTCTGGCACCATGCTCTCCACCACCCAGCCAGATTTTGGGTACTGTGCCCATCACCCTGCCATCCTGTCTGGAGCAGCTCTCCAGGGGCAGGAGCCTAGGTCTTTCCCTGGTGCAGGTGCCCCACGCAAGGCACATGTGATGGAGTTTCACTGGGTTGTGCAGGATACAGTGCCAGGCGGTGAGGGAGGGGGAGCCTTTGCCACAGCTCCACACTGGGCTCACGAAGCAAGCATGGGGCAGAGCCACCCATGTGTGGACATGTGGGTGCAGGGCTGCCATGTGAGCCCCTGCCCAAGCAGAGTGGT